AGACCTCCCTAATATTTGGGCTCTAACTGGTTCATACTCCGATTTCAACCCCACTAAGAATCTTGTAACATCTAGTTGTTCCCTCTGTTGTTGCTGAACTTTAACATCTGGAGTGAGGGGATGATAGACATTGAGTTCATTCCTTATATTCTTCATGCAGGCATAGTACTCTTCTAGGGTTTTGTTTCCTTGTTGCAAATCAAAGTATTMCTGATAAAGTTGATATACCCTTGTAGTATTATCTTGTCCAGAATACAGCTTCTTAGCATGTTCCCATATATCCTTAGCCGTATCTAGGAACATGAAGTTGGCACTAATTTTTGGTTCCATACTATTCCATAGCCAGGTGATGATTTGAGCATCCACTTGTTCCCAATCATCAAACCCTGGAGAGTCAGCCGATGGTTTATCTTCTTTTACATGCTTCACTTTCCTCTTTGCCTTGAGGAAAACTTCCACCGATTTGGTCCATAGAACATAGTTCTCACCATTCAGTTTAATTGAGGTTATTTGTACACCTAGATAGTCAAAGGGAACTACCACACTAGGTTTTTGATCATTATACCCATCTCCCATTGCTGCCATGATACTCTTTCACCGCTGCTTCTAACCTGAATTCCCAACAACCAACTGAGTGCTGTTATTAGGAGTTTGATGTTCCAGCACCTATAGCAGTCCCTAAGCACAATAATAGGTACACTAACCTTGTTCTTGTTCACACCACTACTGATTTCACAACACCACGAACCACATAAACATCAATTCAACACTTACTAATCACATGCAAGTCTTCTTACAACCACTCAACAAGGATTGTGCATCACAAGCACCACCACATAGTCATATCTGTTACACCCGGTACAGACCTGTTTAACACCTTTAAGAGGGCACTACACGACCACAAAGAACTCAGCTAGGTCACTGCATTACACTTTGCACAATTCGGCCACTTACAGCAGCCCTTACACCATTCGGCTACTGTAAACACAGCCCGTTCTTGGGATTTTCTCCAAGAACTAGGGCAACAATAAACCTAGTTCTCTAGGTTCTGATCAGTACTCGCAGGTTCTTGAAGGTTTTCTACCCAGAAATACCAGCAGCACAAGGAGAAGAAATAACCGACCTTCTTTTGAGAGTTTCAACCAACCATTCACTGCTGAAGTCATTTTCTTAATGAAGAAGGTTATGCGCAGCAGAGAGAGACGAGCTGAGATGTTTCAGACCTAGGACGAACCAGCTTTCTCCATTGACAGCCCAGAAACGAAGATAGAGAGGTCACAAACACTGCTGAGATGTTCACGAACTGAAGTAGGTCAGGAACCTTGCTCTGATACCATGTTTCGACTGCTGCTACAGTAACCCGAACCAGCAAGAAGAAGAAGAGAAGAAGGAAAATGAAGGGACTGTCGAATCTGATTGATTAACCCTATCAGTCGACCCCTTAATAGTAATTAGTCTCTAATTACTTGTACAAAGACTAAACTGCCCTTATTCGGCTCACTCTAACATCCCTCTTCTCTCTTCTCTCTTCTCTCTCTCTCTCTTCTTGGAAGAAAACAATACCAAGCTCTGATAACATCATCCACTGCCACCAATTTGAAGGCTTCCAATGTTTTTATCCAGTTTTCCGTTTTGATCTTTATGCTTTCAATGGTGTCCTCCATGCTCCTTGACTTTTCTTTGAACAATCCTTCATTTCTTTCCTCCCAGAGAGTCCAGATAGTTGCTGCCTTAGCTGTTTTCCATAGTAATCTTCCTCTCTTCTTCGCTTGCCTGAAAAATTTTGGCTGAACAAAGTAGTAAAGTCCTCTGGTGCACTTGCATTGGGCAGTTGCACACACACACACACACACACAGATAGAAGAGTAACTGATTTAGCAGAATCATGTTTTTCTTTTTTAATGGGACTATTGGACTTTTTACTAGATTGTCTAATAGAAGTTATGTGATGCTTAATTGAAATTACTTTCTCACTGTAATTCTAGAAAACTATGAGGTCTCCACTGAATTTTCTGCTTGGCATTTTTTTTTTGATCAATAACACTTTCATTAATTCATCAGTAGAAAATTTACAAGTGGAA